TGAACATTTGTTAGGATAACGAGGTGAAGGAGACGTGTGATGCTTTTATAATCGATTAAAAAAAAACAACAACAACCCATTATGTCACGAATCCCAAATATACGTCAATTATAATTATGTCACAACGGGACGACCAATGAGAGACGAGTAAATAAAACTCTCGATTATCTCGTTATTGTGACACCTGTAGGCGACTGGAATAAATTACAGTTAAAGTGGAAATATTTTAGAAAACGAAAATGTAGAATTTAGGTTGAATTTGACTGAATGTGATGGAGGACTAGGACTAGGACTAGGACTAGGATTAGGATTAGGATTAGGATTAGGACTAGGACTAGGACTAGTACTAGGACTAGGATTAGGATTAGTACTAGGATTAGAAATAGCACTGTGACTAGGATTAGGGCTAATATTAGAATTAGTACTAGGATTAGGACTAGGAGTGTGAATAGGACTAGGATTAGTACTAGGACCATGACAACAACAACGACTAGGACTAGGCCTGTGACTAGGATTAGGACTAGGATTAGGACTAAGACTATGATTAGGACTAGTATTAGGATTAGTACTTGGATTAGGACTAGGAGTGTGACTAGGACTAGGGGGATGACAACAACAACGACTAGGACTAGGACTATCTTCAAAATGCAGGACTTGTCTAACTTCTGATTGACAACTCTTGTATCAAATGTCATACTTATTTCTTACTTATTTTATCATCCAATCATATGCCGTATAAATCACTGAGCCTGGTGTGGCTACATTCCTGTGAGGTCACGGTGAGCTGCACGTCAAAACTTTGGCGAGGACAGAAGGCAACTGTGATGAAACGTCACAGTAGCCGACGGACGGACGGACGGACTTTATCAGTGGCTTTTGATTCACTTCCTGGAACGAGCGAGCCGTTGGACATCAGTGGAAAGCTAAAGATTAACAGAGTTCTGAGGACACATTAGCCCGAGTGGAAAAAATTAACGCCACCTGAAGCTGAAGCCAGAGGAGTGAACTGTTAACGTAATCTTAACACAGGAACCAGCGTTTAAGGTGGAATTTCCTTTTTAAACCAATCCTGAAAATTAAAGCAAACTCTCGTTGAAGTCCTTTTCCTCGTAGAACTAAAATAATCAAAATTGCCAGGGAAAACAGATTAAAGATTCGACCGGACGGTGGAGGAAATGTTACAACTTTTTCTGGGATGTTTTACCGAATGTTAGAGTTTTAAAGAAGTAGAACAAAAGTTGATGAGTCTGTTTTTAGAATCCTGTCTGATTGAAAGCACCTTCAACAGCTTTAGAGGTCAAAGGTCAAGAGTCCTCCTTGACCTCTGTGTCACTGAAATACCTCACGGCAGATGAGTCCGAGCTTTTTTAGGACGTAAGAAACCTTTGTGTGTGTGTGAGTGTGAGTCCGGGTTTATAAAAGTGAACGCGAGAGACGTAACCAGGCGTTATCTCGGGACGACGCCGTTTCCGCGAAGCTGTTGGACATTTTTTAACACCGGAGCTAACAGCCAGTGGAGAGAGAGAGAGAGAGAGAGAGAGAGAGAAAAAAAATCCACAATGAGACTCAGTGTCTCCGTGCAGACGCAGTGGCCAAAATTTCAAAGGTCTGGCTCGTGAGCGGGGGTCCGCCCAACTCCAGTGCAGGTTGCCTTGGGCTGGCAGGTTGCTCCACTGCAGTGTGTGTGTGAGAGTGTGTGAGAGAGTGTGTGTGTGAGTGACTATTTCTTCTGAGTGGGCAGGGCTGCTGGTGCTGTGACATATGTGGGCTCCACGGGGGCCTGTGACGGCACACTCCGACTATCTGGACAATGCATCTGTGTCTCTGCGTCCTCGTCCCGCTCGTCCCCAGCGGACCTCCACCAGGCTGCACCTCAGCGGACCTCCACCAGGCTGCACCTCAGCGGACCTCCACCAGGCTGCACCTCAGCGGACCTCCACCAGGCTGCACCTCAGCGGACCTCCACCAGGCTGCACCTCAGCGGACCTCCACCAGGCTGCACCTCAGCGGACCTCCACCAGGCTGCACCTCAGCGGACCTCCACCAGGCTGCACCTCAGCGGACCTCCACCAGGCTGCACCCTGGATCTCACACTCATCCCCCCCCACCCCCCCCCCCCTGGATCTCACACTCGTCCCCCCCCCCTACCCCCCACCCCCCTTCTCTTTGTTTGGCCCGCAGTATCTTTATTTCATGCTGTCCATCTCCCCGTCCTCCTCCCCGCATATCTCTCTCTCTCTCTCTCTCTCTCTCTCTTTTCTCTCCCACTGTGGCCTGCTTTTCATCTCTCCCCTGCTTCACCCACCCTCCCCTGCTGCTCCCCTTATACTCCCCTCTTTCTCTCTTTTCCTTCCCTGCCCTTCACCACGTTTCACCCCACCCCACCAACGCCACCCCCACACCACCCCAGGATCTGCTTTCCAACTCTCTCTCTCTCTCTCTCTCTCTGTCAACCCTCCCCCTCCTCCTCTTCACTGTCCTCCGTTCAATCCCTCTCTTCTTCTCCTCCCCCCTCCTCCTCCTCCCCCCCTTCTCTCTCCTGCCATCTTGCAGGCCAGTGGAGCCAGACTGCAGGCGTTCGTGGAGTCACTGGACCTGCTGGGCAGCGGGTGACACAGAACATTGAACAGAAGGCAAGAAACACTTCTTGCGTTTATGTGTGTGTGTGTGTGTGTGTATGTGTGTGTATGTGTGTGTGTGCATGCGTGACGGGAACAGGGAGGGGGGGGGGATTAAGCTCCAAATCACTAGAGAGGCAAAGAAGAGAGAAAAAGAGAGAGAGAGAGAGAGAGAGGGAGAGAGGGGAGGGAAAGCTGCAGATCCAAGAATTTGAAATTCCCCTTTTGTGTGGGAGATGAAGAAACACTGGACTGTGGACTTAAACTGAAAGACTGTGTGTTTCTCATTCAGTGGCAGCGTTGTAATAGCATGATGTTGGAGCTCGCTGCTTTTCTCCATGAGTTGGCAGGGCCCGGTATTGGCTGCGCTTTCTCCCTCTCACTGTCTCCCTCCCTGCCTGACAAACAGGCACACACACACACACACATACACACGCACACACACACGCACATGCAACATCCCCCACAGATGTACACACACACAAACCCACAGAAGTCCCTCTGCGATCCCCCTGACTGAAGGCGCACAGGAAGTGCAGCCGTGGCCCAATTATAGCGTGACACCTCGGGCCGGCCGTTGCTATGGTTACGTCTTCCCTGCGGTCCCCTGGAGTGTGGCGCCGAGGAAGAAGGTCTTATCACATCAGCCATCGTTACGGCAACAAGCAAAAAAAAAAAAAAAAAAAAAAAAAAAAAAAAAAAACCCTGTGAGACGAGTCCGGCTGATACTGATTCTGAGTACGTGTGTGTGTGTGTGTGTGTGTACTATCTATAGTTGTGAATAAAAAAGAGGAATAGTGTCAGTGTGTAAAAACAGCAGAATGTGTTTGTGATTATGTGTTGATGTCAGGTGGTGTGTTCCTGCACTGGATTTGCCAAGGAAGTGTGTGAGTGTGTGTGTGTGTGTGTGTGTGTGGCTGTGGGGTTGTGATAAGGCTCTCAGCCACACCTTTAGGTGACTCATAATCCACACAACCTCACACACACACCAACATGGAGAAACATGGCTGCAAACACACACACACACACACGTAGGAGCAATTAGTTCAGAGAAGATCCACAGACGGAAGCAGACGGAGCAGAGAGGCAGTCTGTAGACCAGTGCACAGAAACATGGCTGCAAACTTTTTTGTTGTTTTTTTTTTTTTTTTTTTTTTATTATTTCAAAAAGGGCAAACAGAGCTTTACAGTAAAAGCTGCACATGAAATAATTTAGCCTGGGCTGAAACTCATTCATTTTGTTGCTGATGCAGTGACGTCAGAGCGACAGAATCTAAACTCCCCATTAGAAACAAAAACACTTGGCTCCTTTTTTTGTTTTTTGTTTGTTTTTGTTTTTTTGTTTTTAAATGTTCAAACACATCACATCCAAACTGCAAAGGGATGTAAAAAAGACATAATGTTTTCCAGGTATTTACAGGTTATTTACAGTGTTTGTTTTTCTTTGTCACCATCTAAACATGGACACACATCGGTATCGCTCTTTCTCCCCCTCGCTCTCCGATTTCACTGATTGTCAAAAGGAAGGATGGGGACGAGTGTAGACATTCTTCGACAGAGCTGCAGCTCTTCAGTTGAACTCCAGTTTCCAAGTCCGAGCATGTTAACATCATGTCCCAGGATTTCTTTAAATTTGTTGTTTTTTTTTTTATTTACTACCACCCAGCTCCGACAACCATCCAGCCAGGACTGAAGTCACTATCCATCCAGGCCTCCGTTGCTTCTCTCCTGTGTCAGGCCTAAAGCGAACTCGGAGCCCCGCAGATCAAACCCTGACACCCTGCTCTCAAACCCCGGGCCTCCCGGCTTCCTCTTCAGCTCCTCACACTTCCTGTATTTACAGATCTGGTGTCCTCTCTTGCGATTGCGGCAGCTGCTGCACTGTTCGCAGTTTGTTTGACGCCGACAAGGTACACACTCCCCGCACCTCTTCCTCTTCCTCTTGCCTCCGCTGCCTGCCCCCAGAGAACCAGGGGAGTAGCCCTCAGCCACCAGCCCCTCGATGCCCTCGGTTCCCATGGCGGCGCTCCTCCAGTGGCCTCCCCCCATCTGGAAACCCGCCAGAGGGAACAGAGCTGGGCTGAAGGGGAACCAGGCTCCCAGGAAGGGTTGGAAATCAGTGCCACAGCCGGGGGCGTCCTCTTCCTCCTCCTCGGGCCCAGACCCACCTCCTTCCCCGTCCCCTCTTCCTGGCTTGGCCTCCGCCGCCTCTCTTTTAGCCGGCTGGCTGCTCTGGGCGCCCAGGCTGGCCTGCTCCGTGGTGGCCGGCGTCAGAGCCAGGAGCCCGGCGCGCATCAGAAGCTCTGCTGCGTGGGCCAGGTGGAGCCCGCTGGGTGACTCCCACATGTCGGGCCAGGAGGGGGCCCGGCGAGGCTTAGCATTCGTGGGCTGGGCCGCTCGGTGCTGGGCCGGGGAGGGCTGGATCAGACTTTTGACGTCCACAGCCGGAGATGGCGTAGAGATGTAGTGGGAGAGGCTGTAGGGGTGGCTGGAGCGCTTCAGGCTGGGTCTCAGAGGCTCATTAGGGATTTTAGCACTGCTGTGGGCCTGATCTGGGGAGGAAGGGCCAGCGATGTCTACAGCGGTGGACATAGCAGTGGCTGTGCTTTGCAGGATTCTGTCCTTGAGTGTGTGTGTGTGTGTCTATATGTGTGTATGTGTGTGTGTGTGTGTGGGAGGTGAGGTGAGGGAGTGGGGGATTGACGCTGATGCAGGGTTGACAACCGTCCTTGCTGTTACTTCAGCCAAAATGGCAAGCCTTGGCCTGTGTCCCTATTCCCATTCTCTGCAGCAGCCTCACAGTCCAAGAGAGCTGGAGATGGAGACGGGATGGAGAGAAGAGAAGAGTGTTAAAAAAAAAAGAAGAAATAAAAAGGAAGAAATGTTACAGAGAAAAAAGAAATAAAAAGGAAGAAATGTTACAGGGAAGATTACGGAGGGACGATGACAGTTGTTAGCATTTTAAGACGCGACGCGGGACTGTGTCTCAAACTGGGCTTGAAATGAGAAACAACACCGGAGTAAATAATGTTAAATATATTTTTTTTTTTAAAAACCAGCTCAGCCCAGAGGAATCGAACCATCTCTCACCAGACACAGTGGCTGCTGTGCCAGTGATTTCCGCATACAGCAGGCAGTAGACTATCCCTTTAAGAATTTCACGGTATATCAATGCAATCAATAACAGAGCGACAACAATATGCAAAGATATGCGCATATGCGCAGGTCAAATGTGGAGCGCGCTTTTCAAATACATTTTGACGACTGCTCTTATGTTTGCCAGCCAGGGCTGAGGCTCAGCCGAGAAACACGAAATAGCGGACGGCTAAAAAAAAAAACAAGCCGTCTTTGTCTGCTATCGACGACGGCGAGCGAGGTGCGCAACGATGCGGTGGCTCAAGATAAAACGGAAAGCAGGCGTTATTCCGTTTCCAGACGAGCAGAAATCCTCACCCTCGGCTCCGACCCGGAACATTAACGTTGAAAACCAAACCGCCACGGTCAACGCCTGGCACCGTTTAATCGATTACTTCATTCCCAGCTTACGTTACCTCGGAAAGCAGCGACGCCACGGCGAGCTGACCACAGTCCGAGTGGTCGCTGCTGCGACACGGCGCCGCGCACAGCGAAAG